TGTGAAGAAAACGATGAGAAAAGTTGCATGCGGCAATGGGGTATACATGTAATCTCATTCAAACACGGAACACGGTCCGAAAACATGGAGAGATTAAAAAAAAGGTAAGTATTGAAGTGGGGCGGGCGCTGCCGCCTCAGAAACTACCGCTGCGTAATACTGGGGTGGGCTACGGCGATCGGCACATGCTACGTGCAAAAACATGAGTAGAAAATCAAGGCATGCGAAAGGAAAGATTCGCAAAGCAGAACAGCAGGTAGGAATGACAAGTGCAGTCATCGAGTCAGAGTACCTGTCCTCCCGTCTACGTGATCAGACGGTCAGTTGAGTACCACACACGGTGCGACTGTGGCGGGGGTAGGCGAACATCACCAGCTGTGAACTGGACGCCTGGTGTGTACTGGGGACAGGGACCAGCGTTGACAGTTGGCACCGGAGCAGGGTTGGGTGCCGGAACAGGAACGGTCGGTTGAGGTTGAGGGCCGTGGAACGGCTTCAGGCGATCGACATGGACTATGTGTGACTTCTGGTCGGAGCACCTCTGAATTTCCAAGACCACGTCATCCAGGAGACGGGCAACACGGTACGGGCCTTTCCACGGCCGGTGGAACTTGCTGCACTGACCAACTTTCACAGCCGGGTTGTGGAGGAGAACCAGATCGTCCGGCTTGAACGGGTTGGCACGACTACGAACATCATAGGCTGTCTTCTGGCGTTTCTGAGCCTTGGCACCGCACTCACGAGCAAGTTCATAGACATGTTGGAGGGACTGTTGCAGTTGGCTGACGTACTCGGGTACGGACACTGATGGTCTGGTAGGCGTAGAATACATCAGATCCATCGGGAGTTGGATCTCTCTGCCGAACATCAGGTAGGTCGGTGTATGCTGAGTCGATGAGTGGCAACTGGTACGATAGGCTAGCAGACACCGCTGCAGGTACAGATCCCAGGTGTCATGGTGACCTGCAACGTGCTTGCTGATCATGGCGGCTAGGGTCCGGTTCATCCGCTCCACTAAGCCGTCACTTTGCGGCCGGTAGGGTGTGGTCTTTGTCTTCCTCATATCCAGAAGCTCGCACATCGTCTTGAACAGCTTCGAGGTGAACTGGGCACCCTGGTCCGAATGGATGGACTCCGGCACTCCAAAACGGCAAATGAAACCGTCGACGAGCGCGGACGCGACAGTCTCGGCACTGATGTCGGGGAGAGCGTACGCCTCAGTCCACTTTGTGAAATAATCACAAACAACTAAGATGTACCGGTTGTTTCGGGCAGTGTTCGGCAGTGGGCCCAGCAAGTCCAGGGCAATGCGCTGCATGGGGTATGCAGCAAACTCTTCCTGCATGGGAGCCGTGCGCGAAGGGATGGGACCCTTCCGCTCCTGACACTCCTGGCAGGCGGCACAGTATCTGGTGACATCCGACTGCATGAACGGCCAATAGAATCGGTCCTTGAGTTTGGCGAGTGTCCGCTCTGCGCCCAGATGACTGCCGCTGACTTCCGAGTGAGCAGACTTCAGGACATCAGGTCGGAGTTGGCGGGGAACAATGAGTTGCAAGCGCGACGCAGCACTGGCGTCATAGTAGGTCCGGTACAGAATGCCTTGGACAAGCTGGATGCGAGACCATTGAGACCACAAGCGTAAGAGGCCTCTGGACGCACCTTTCAGGGCCACATCTGAACGCTTCGGTCGATCCAGCAGTGCACTCTGCCATCCGGACATCTTGGCGAGGTCCGGGTCACTCTCCTGGGAGTTCAGCAGGTCTTCACGAGTCCATACTGGGCACCAACTGGGTGGGTCTGGCAACGCAGCACGGACGGTGATGTGGGTGCTCGGGGCGTCTTCCACAACACTCACGGGAGGGTCCGGTGTTGGATGCGGCAGTCTGGACAGTCCGTCCGCGTTGGCATGGCGCCTACCCAGTCGGTGAATGATGACGAAGTCGAACGCTGCTAACCGCTCCAACCAACGAGCGATAAGTGGAGGTGGTTCCTTGAAGGAATGAAGCCAGGTCAGAGATTGGTGGTCAGTGCGGAGTGTGAACTGAGCGCCCGCGAGGTAGTGGCGGAAATGCTCGATGAACGTGATAACGGCAAGCAGCTCACGCTTCGTGGCGAAGTAGTTCCGTTGGGACTTGGTGAGTGATTTGCTGGCATAGGCCACAGCACATTCACACCCGTGGGAGTCACACTGGCTCAGAACTCCACCCAGGCCGGTCTCAGACGCGTCCGTGTCCAGGAGGAACGGTCGACCAGGATCGGGGTAGGCCAAGACAGGGGCAGTGACAAGCTGGTGCCTCAACGCTTCGAACGCGTCCTGGCAGGCAGGAGTCCACTGGAAGGAGGCTTGCTTCTCGGTGAGCTTGTTGAGAGGGGCAGCAATGGTGGAGAAGTTGGGGATGAATCGACGGTAGTAGGTCGCGAATCCGGTAAACTGTCGTACGGCGGTTGGGGATGATGGGGTGGGCCAGTCGCGGACAGCAGCATACTTTGCTGGGTCAGGAGATACACCCTCGGCACTTCTGCGGCTTGATCTTCAGGCCGGCTTGTCGCAAGCGTTGGAGGACCGTACGCAAGTGCCGGAAGTGCTCTCCGACCGATCGTGAGTAGATCACGATATCATCCAGGTAGACCATGCAGATAGAGCCCAGAAGGTCGCCGAGCACCTCGTTCATCAACCGCTGGAATGTTGCAGGCGCGTTGCATAGCCCAAATGGCATGGACCGCCACTCGTATAAGCCGAACGGTGTCACAAACGCTGCCTTCCGGCGAGCCGCTTGGTCGAGCTCCACCTGCCAGTATCCGCTGGTCAGGTCCAGGGTGGAGAATACAGTGGCACTGGACATCTGGTCAATGGCAGTATCGACACGTGGGATGGGGTAGGCGTCCTTGATGGTGATGGCGTTCAGCTTTCTGTAGTCTACGCACAGTCGGAGTGACTGGTCAGGCTTCCGCACAGTAACGATCGGGGCAGACCATGGACTGGTCGACAGTGAGATAATGTCTCTGCGTAGCAGGTCGTCGACGTGAGCCTTCACCTCAGACTGAAGGTGGACAGGAATGCGCCTGGGTGCCTGGCGGATGGGGCGTTCAGAGCTAGTCTCCACCGTGTGGGTGATAAGCGAGGTGGTGCCCAGGTCCTGCGGTCCGGTGGATATGACATCCGAGTACTCAGACAGCAGTTCAGCGAGCTCCTTGGTGTTCCCGTCGTCCAGAGGTGGTCTCTCAAAGAGGTCGAACGGCTAGGTGGCTGGGTTCTCTGCTGGAACAGTGGCATTGCAGCGGGCAGCCAGAGGAGCAGGCGGAAGACTTGGCTCATCGTCCATGGTAGTGCACGAGTGCAGCTCACCAATGATTGTGTCTTTTGGAATCGTGACTGGTTTGGGGGAGAGGTTCTGCAGACAGATGGGTACATGTTCCCGGCATGACTTGTCCTCTACTAGGGTAGGTGTCATAGCCAAGAGGTGCTTGTCCAGGAACCGTGTGCGGGGCTCAATCAGAGCAACCGAGACGAAAGAACCAGCCTGTTCCGGGACAGAAGCCGGAGCCAACGTCTGCGTTACCCGGGGACAACAACAAGGGTAAGCAGCCGCACGAATCGGACAGCCGCGGGACGTGGCGATGTGATCCCGGGTGGTGGGGGTCTGTCCAGTGGATACGTAGTGCCGCCCATCACCAAACAGGAGTTGGACATGTCTATCTGACACTGAGTGGCACGGAGGAAGTCCAGACCGAGAATGCCAGAGACTTCAATGTCAGCGACGAGAAACGGATGACGGCAGCGGACGTCGAACGCAATCTCAATCGGCAGTTCCACTCGACCAGTGACAGCAACAGGACTGCCCGTCACGGATTGAACCGACACCGTAGGCGGGGTTAGACGAGCGGGAGAGACAGCCCTCTGACCGACCAGAGTGCGCCACACAGCAGTGCTAACCAGCGACACAACACTGCCGGTGTCGACCAACAGCGACACTTTCTGGCCTCCAATGTTTGTCGTGATGAAGAGCGATTCGGGCGTGGTGGTACAAGGAACAGTCAGTACAGGAGCAGGGTTACGTGCCGTCAGTACAGCACATGCATCACATACAGCAGGCGGCGAGGATTCACTAGACGATGGACAAACTTGCTCAAGGCACACAGAACAGGGCACACAGCCGGTGGTGCCGGAGTGGGTCACAGGGTCACACAGCAGAGTAGCCATTGCCGGACCCGTGGCAATGGCTTCTAGTGGTTTCCCGAGCGGCCGGGCTGAGTGCGAGGAGGCTGGTTAGCGCCGGTCGCCTGCTGCTGCGGACACTGGTGCTGGAAGTGTCCCGGGCTTCCGCAGGACCAGCACACCCTCTGGCCACGTGCGGTGTTCTGGCTTGATGCTGGTCCTGGACGACCAGCCGCGGTGAGTGTCGTCAGCTTGGCTTCTAGGTTTTCCAACCGATCCAACACAGCTGCCAATGCCGGGTCGATGGCTGGTACAGGACGGGAGGTTGGGGCAGGGGCTACTGCCTGCACAGCCACGGGCGGGAGAGGGTCGGCCGTCAGTTGCGAGTCTGTTTGCAGGATCGTCTGCATGTGTAGCGCCCGCTGGAGAGCGTCGTCCAGGGTGGCCGGGTTGACCGTCCGAACTTGGACGCGCAGGTCGCGGCTGTCCAGGCCAGCGATGAACTGATCCTTCCCAAGAGTGTCCTGGACGGCGGGTTGGAGGGTTGGGTACGAGTACCGAGCCAACCGCCGGATGGCTTCGCAGTAATCGCTTAACGGCTCCCCAGGGCGTTGGCGACGACCCTGCAGCTCAGCCCGATACATGTCGGCTTGCTGGGGCGCATTGAACCGCTGCTCCATGAGCTGCAGCAACTGCGGAAGGGGGCCCTGGCGCACATTGGCAACCAGACTGTGGTAGTAGGAGAGAGCAGCTCCAGACAGATACAGGCCAAGGTATGCGACCTGGTGTTGGGGCGTCCAATTGTTCACTTGGGACACAGTCTCGAATTGGAGGAGCCATGATGGCCAGTCACTATCAATACGGTCGGGCACTGCTCAATTGGTGTTACCAGTGTTGTCAGCCCAGACAGCTACTAGTATATATTTGTTTTTCTCTGCAGCGTAATATGCTTCTCTGTTCATTGTTGCAGTTTAATGTGCCTCTCTGTTCATTGTTGCAGTTTAATGTGCTTCTGTGTTCATTATCACAGTCTACTGCAACGACAGCAACAACTTGGTAGCAGCACGTAATGAAGACCGGTGTATGTGTAGACCTGGTTATATCAGGACATCCGCACACAGATGTAAGTGATATGGTCCCATCCTAACACATTCTCATTCTGTTTGACTCGAAGAGAATTGGTGAGCACACATGCTCATTCCCTGGGCACTGCAAATTCACAACTCATTTCATTTCACAGAACCATTTTTCAAAATTTCGAAGGATGTGAAAACTTGTGCCTGACTGGTATATCTTGATTGCTTGATCCGTGTGTGTGCATACTGACGTGAAAAATAGGCAAACTGGGGAGTAGTCACAGCGAGGTGGTCATGCTGTTAACACTGGCGGAACAGTGGGGAAGATTTCAAATTTGGACTTCACGGAGAATTTCACTTTGTTAGGAAATTAGAGGCCACATGCCCCGTACTGTTCTTTTTCTCTCCGAAACTCAACACTCGCAAGCCAGATATGAGAGAAAGAAAAAATCATCAGTCACACCACCGGGACTCGAACCAGGGACCTTGCTATTCGCGAGCAATGCGCTAACCAACTTTGTATTTGCTCGCAGTGGACATAGTTTGATGCGCTCCCCATGATATCAAGCGAATGACCGAGGGCCCTCTTGATTGGTGTGCGTTGCCAGTATGTTGCAAGCTAGATATGGATTGATCGAAGAAGGATAGATTTACCATCACTGTGGATAAGAGTCATACTGTAGATCGGTTGGTTAGAGCATTGGTCGCGAATAGCAAGGTCCCTGGTTCGAGTCACGGTGGTGTGACTGATGATTTCTTTCTTTCTTTATTATCTGGCTTGCGAGTGTTGAGTTTCGGAGAGAAAAGGAGCAGTACGGGGAATATGGCCTCTAGTTTCCTAACACTTAACAGTGTGGAAGATTTAACAGAATTTAGAGAGATTGGACACAGGTTTCGCAAAGCATACAATGCGGAATGCGATGTTTGTTGCTTATGATTGTAGGGGTGAAAAAATTAGTTCGAATATTCGAGTAATCGTTGGAAAATTTCGAACGAGCGAGTATTCGAAATTTTGTACTTTATCGGTTTTTTTTTAGTATTGGCATTCTATTTTTCAAAAATCTTTTGTTGTACCGCTAGTTCACTGGTATGCATGCGTAATGCATGCCTTTGAGTCAGTATTTTATGACTTGGACGATGCAAGTAATGTTAGTTATTATTATTATTATTCACACATATCCGCCGGATGAGTACGCGTGGCCCATGCACCATGGGGACCCACGAATACAAACCAGCATATGTTCCCTCAGCAATACAAGCAAGCAAGCACGCAAAGATAAATGAGAGCCCAGGCAGCGAAAACAAAGCGAAGAGAGATGAGGACATAGGCAACGAAAACAATTCCAAAGCATAGCCAGGGATTGAATGTGTGCATCTGGGTACGACAAGTTATGAGATATGAAAGTACTGATGAAAATCATTAAGTTACACTCCAGGGCCACGTTGAGGGGCCCTATCCCACCACCCATGGCTGCTTCTGGACTTTTTTTAGGTTGGGATCCCGCGTACGGACAGAATGGGCAAGAAAATGTGAAAAAATGTAAATGAATTTTTTGGCTCCTGGGTGGCTCGCACACCGTGGCACTATGCCGCAATTTTGAGTTTTTCCGGCCTGGAAAGCCTGTCAGTGAGGCGCAAGAACTTTAACATCATGACCAGAGAGCCAGCATAGTGGCAGGAGTGTGTGGTGAAAAATTCACTCGAATCCATTGAGAGACACCAAAGTTACGGTCAATTGAATGCCATATGAAATTTACGACCAGGTTGCTACCTTAACTGGCCCATGACTACTGAGTACTGAAAATCATGATTCTTCTCCAATATGATAGCTACCAAATTCTTCATAAAACTAAGACTATAGTACTAGGACAAACGTGACAACTACTGAGAAGGGGCTGCACCGAGACGCAGCAGTGATGCCAGGGCATTGATGGCTCTGCCGACCTGAGATCTTGGCATCACGGCCAAAAACACGCACCAGAGCCAACCCCTGCATTAACTCTTCCCGGATCCATCACAGACCTCCCAGTGGTAAAGCAACACAAGGATCTTGGTTTGGTCATTGACTCAGACTTATCGTATATTAGACATGTCGACTATATCTGTTGCAAAGTCAGTAAAGCTGTTGGCTACCTCATGTCGCACTGCTCCCACCTACCGCTTGAATTCGCCTTTTTATCATTGCTATATTCTCCCCATTTTTCTCTATTGCTCAACCGCCTGGTCATCCCTACTAAGTAATTCGTTAATGAGTACCCTGGAAGTCCACAATAAGAGGGTACTGAAAGTCCTTTTCAAACCATCATACTTTCCTTCTGTCGAGCTGTATGATATGTTAACACCTTCCCCATCTCTACTCAAGCGGATCGAAAACAGTGCATTGTTGTTCATTCTATTCGTCTTGACAAAGCCCCGCCACACTTGCGTAAATATAACTGGTTTCTTCCCACTCATTTTTTTATGTATTTTTTACTGTAGTACTTATTTTCAGGCCTCTTTTACGGACAAATTAACACTCCCACTCATCCTACACGCACTTCCTGCACTTTGCCTAAAGCCCGAACATCAGCTCATACCAGATCTCCGTTTTTCACTGCCTATTGTCTCTGGCTGGCCCTGCGTCTATCAGCAAAATCGTCTTGTACGCTAAATGATTTCAAGGTCAACATGAAGCTTGAGTTCTAATAACTGCTAATTCTTCATTCAGATTTGTTTATCTTTGCCTCGCCCCGTGTAGGTTATTGCCTCCTGCAATTTGTAATTTTTTTGCATTGTTTTGCTTACTGCCATGGCTGGCTATCGCCCCCCCCCCTCCCTCCATATTGGCCTATATTCCCTGGCCACGGGAAGGTGAAATAGATAAAATAAATAAAATAAGGTCAGAAAAACTAGGCTCTAGCACCACAAATTTATGTCTGAGTGATAATAACGGATATTATGATCGCGTTCGCGACAGGGGGAGGGGGGTCAAGAGTGTAGTACTGCTACACGCATAGCGCAGTGAATCAACAGCACTGCGCTATGCTGCAGAGACTCATCAGATGCTAAGGAGATCTTGTACAGACAGTAGCTGTTCATGTCATGCCCCTTGCAACTGTTTGCATGCGAATATGCATGTGGAGCATGCCTGCACTTTGAGTGCACATTCTGCTAATATACCCCGTGATCATTTCTCGATTTCTGCCAGTTCCTGCCATTATTCAAATATCCGTTCACTCCACGGATAATCAAATTCATCCTATTTTTGATCATTCTTTTCGATACCATAACTGTGAACAGGTAATACCCACCTAATCACATGACGGATTGTAATGCTCTGTACTGCTCTTTGTACAGGTGAATCCATTTTCAACAAGCTAAATATAAACGTTACTGGCGAAGGGCTTGGGAGTTCAAACGTCACTGTTTTCAGCTTGATTGATTCAGAGTGGAGGGTGCACAGTGTGTTCACACAGAATACACTTTACCTGCTGGCTAATCTCTCCTTACCTGAAGGGAGATTTGCCATCAGATCTGCTGAGCGGATCATCTACACGTTTTCCGAATCTATTCAGGAAGGTGAGATAACGCGCGTGTGTATTTCTTCATGTTGACGCGTGTGTGTGTGCGATTCCCAAAGATTCTCGATGGAACCAATAATCAATTCAGAGAGCTAAAGGTTTCTCTCCAGCCATGTTAAATAACTAACCCCCTCACGAAAGCGGCCACTCTCTTTCTCTCTCTCTCTCTCTCTCTCTCTCTCTCTCTCTGTCTATCTCTTCGCCTCTCTCTCTCTGTGTCTCTGTATCTCTCTATCTATCTCTCTTCTTTCTCTCGTACTATAGCTGACACTGTTGCAGCAGAGCTGGCCAAGAATCCCTCCCAATTCCTCACCGTGAATGCCAGCTCGAATGATAAATTTATCCTGGTGCCCACAGCCCATCTGCGCAGCTACCTGGTCAACTTAAGAGTTTGGTTTCGGCCATACAAAGTCGAATGCGTTGACATTCCTGGTACAAACCAGTCAGACATCTGTAGTTACAGTTTGTTTGATGAGACACTCCTGTTCAAGGATGGCCTATACGAGTTTGCCCTGTCTCCACTCAACACTACAGTACCTGTTCTATACACAGTTCACTCAAGACCAACTACCACTGCACCTCTGATGCCCGGCATGCCAGGTAACAGTGGTAAGTGTTCAGTGTGTTTATGTTTAGCTAATGTTTCTTTCTGTCTGAATTTCCCCACATGCCATTACCAGTGGATGTGAGAGAGGTCTACATGCCCAACACAGACGTGAATAAAAACAGAGAGGATGAAATATGCACACAACAAACATAGTATTGGCGGAGGACGCGAGGTATAGTAATATTATTATAACAGGGACATGCTCCCCAGAGTACAGATACAACGCACAGAGTACATTTATGACACATGGAGTACAAAGTAGCGAGAGTTCCCAGATTACCTTGAGTGCTCAACACCACAAAGATGGAGCATTATCACAAAGGCAGAAGAATACAGAGACAACCGGCTAGTTCATTGCTGTTACTCTGGGTTCATCCTGCACATAGCATAGCTAATGCAATCCTCAGAAAACTGTTAGGTACCTCCTCCCGTACGTTGTACAACCTTTTCCAAGCTGGCCTGCATGCCCCCTCGTACTAACCTTTTGTCTCCTTTTGTCACCTTTTGTTCCGTTGGCATGGGTAGCTACTTGCGCGCCCATATTTGCCATCGCTACCCAGGCCCTTTATCTTGCCGCCCTCACTCGACCTCTCTCTCTTCCATAATGTATTCGTTTCGTTCGTCTTGGTCTCTGTCTCGTCGTCTCTAAGAAATGTCGTCCCATCTACCAGTTCCCGTTTTCCATAATTTCTTGGAGAGTAATCGTCCTTTTTGAAATCAACACAACTGATAACCTGCACATCATCTGGGTCCAATTTCATACGCAGGCAGGTAGCAAAGCAAAGCGCGCAAAGGTAGAAAAGCGCGACATTAGTGTGACATTTCAAGTTAGTGAGACATGGTACAGATGGTGTCAGTTTTACAAGGAGGTAAGAATGAGGGAAAGAAGGAGAGTTGACAGTCAAGTTACAGTGACGGCAGGCAAGCCCTGCGCCTGGTGGCGGCATGCAGGTGACTAAGTCACACCAGTTCCGTAGCGTGAGAGATAGAACTTATTCTAATTACCAAATTAGCCCCATCCCTCACACAAACAAGTCAACAAAGAGGCATCTTTGGATTGAGGAGTGCTGGTTTCGAAACAACTGGTTTGAAGCTCAAAGTAGAGCTGGTGTTAGCTCAGAGCAGAGCTGCTGCTAGCTCAGAGCAGAGCTGCTGTTAGCTCAAAGTAGAGCTGCTGTTAGCTCAAAGTAGAGCTGCTGTTAGCTCAAAGTAGAGCTGCTGTTAGCTCAAAGTAGAGCTGCGGTTAGCTCAAAGTAGAGCTGCTGTTAGCTCAAAGTAGAGCTGCTGTTAGCTCAAAGTAGAGCTGCTGTTAGCTCAAGGTAGAGCTGCTGTTAGCTCAAAGTAGAGCTGCTGTTAGCTCAAAGTAGAGCTGCTGTTAGCTCAAAGTAGAGCTGCGGTTAGCTCAAAGTAGAGCTGCGGTTAGCTCAAAGTAGAGCTGCTGTTAGCTCAAAGTAGAGCTGCGGTTAGCTCAAAGTAGAGCTGCTGTTAGCTCAAAGTAGAGCTGCTGTTAGCTCAAAGTAGAGCTGCTGTTAGCTCAAAGTAGAGCTGCTGTTAGCTCAACGTAGAGCTGCAATGCTAAATGGATGTAATATAGCGCAAGGCAGAGCCGCAGCAAATAGCTAGATAACACCAGTTGTGAGAGTGGACCCGATTAGTGGGTACGATAATTATGATGGTGTGAATAAGTTGGATAGGGAGGGATGGTGGGAAAAGAAACACTGCTGAAGCACGATCCGTTGTCTGGAAGAGCACAACAGGGCAAGCAAGATTTGTTTTTCTTTTCCGCAAAATGGGCTGGTGCCATTTGTGATTACGCAGCAAAACAAAGCGCATGACGTCAGTCTTGAATGCAGTACAAAGCAATGCAGTGCAGTGTGTGCGCTAGTTCGGATTGTTGCTAACAAGTACTAGCACAGCTAGTACACCATTAGCCCCATCCCTCACACAAACAAGTCAACAAAGAGGCATCTTTGGATTGAGGAGTGCTGGTTTCGAAACAACTGGTTTGAAGCTCAAAGTAGAGCTGGTGTTAGCTCAGAGCAGAGCTGCTGCTAGCTCAGAGCAGAGCTGCTGTTAGCTCAAAGTAGAGCTGCTGTTAGCTCAAAGTAGAGCTGCTGTTAGCTCAAAGTAGAGCTGCTGTTAGCTCAAAGTAGAGCTGCGGTTAGCTCAAAGTAGAGCTGCTGTTAGCTCAAAGTAGAGCTGCTGTTAGCTCAAAGTAGAGCTGCTGTTAGCTCAAGGTAGAGCTGCTGTTAGCTCAAAGTAGAGCTGCTGTTAGCTCAAAGTAGAGCTGCTGTTAGCTCAAAGTAGAGCTGCGGTTAGCTCAAAGTAGAGCTGCGGTTAGCTCAAAGTAGAGCTGCTGTTAGCTCAAAGTAGAGCTGCGGTTAGCTCAAAGTAGAGCTGCTGTTAGCTCAAAGTAGAGCTGCTGTTAGCTCAAAGTAGAGCTGCTGTTAGCTCAAAGTAGAGCTGCTGTTAGCTCAACGTAGAGCTGCAATGCTAAATGGATGTAATATAGCGCAAGGCAGAGCCGCAGCAAATAGCTAGATAACACCAGTTGTGAGAGTGGACCCATGAAACCAGCACTCCGTTAGCTAAGCACTATTGACGCACAGCAAGGGTCAATTTATGTCAGCACAGGCAAGCATTGCGCAGCTAGAGTTCAGTAGCTCATTACTCACCCGAGTTGGGGATCATGGCATCCATGGCACGGCAGCAAGCCGGGACGATAGCTGGCGCTTAGCGCTTGTTGTAGTCCGGATGTAGCATAGACACGCATCGCTCTTTCCACTGACCTGCCACTCGGAAGAAGGAGTCGGGGCACTAGCCATAGCAGCGGTGGTGGCTGCACCAATGTAGACCGAATGCCCGGAGTAGTTCGACTGGGATGGTACACCGGCCGCAGCGACAAGAGACCATACTGTTACTGTGAATGACTGCCTGGTCAGCTGCTGTCTGTTCGAGAGTACGAACAAGAGTTGCTCTGGTCCCTCGCGACGAGTGACAAATGGGTAGCTAACAATGGCACGGACCGGGCAGTACGGCGGTACAGACGGGCCAATGTCACTAGTAACGCCTTTACCGAATGGGTCCGTCTTGGATGAAAGCAGGAAGAGTTGCAAGCGTCCGTCACCAGGGGAGCTAGTACAGCCCCGTGTGATGCCATTAGTGAATTCAGCACACCGAAGAAATCCAAAGAAGCAGCATGGCGGCTTGGTAGAGCAGCTTGTCATGGCCATTCAGGATACTACTTTTCCGGCGTGCATCCGTCAGGTGTCGTAGGATTGGCATAGTTATAGGAAGGCGAGGGGTGAGTACAGCCGTACCATGGCATCGCTGGATGCCCTTCAACACCCTCTCCAGAAGCCACGCATCTACTCAGGGGCCGGCAAACCCATTCTCAAGGTGGGCTTTATGCACCGCACTCGCATACACAGATACAGTTCAGGGCATGCTGATCATAGTTCGCGCATGAATGTGTGTCCAGGAACGATGACTCGGGCAGCAAAAGTGAGCTTCCCCAGGAGGGACTCGAGTTGACGCTGGCCGATGCTGCGCTCGCTGATAGTAGCCATGAGTGGCGCACGGATCTCGGACAGCTTGTCCTCTGGTAGCCGCAGTCTAGGAAAATACCAAGGTCAATGATGGTGATGGCCCTCGAGCTGGGATGGAGCAAAGAGGAGTGCCGAGATACGTGAATGCCCGGAGGGGGGTGGTGAGTTGCTGGTTGGCTGCAGCCAAACCAGTGGAGATATCGAGAAAGTCATCGAGGTAATGAAGCCGGTGATCTATAGCAAACTCGTGCTGCATGATCCAGTTGACTGCTGTGGCTACTGAGTCAAAGACGGCTGGGCTGGAGCGGAGGCCGAAAGGCAGAAAGCGCTCGTAGTAGTAGGAGCCTTCCCAGCGAAGTCCTGACGGCGGACTGGGATCTGCCGAAATGCACTGCGTACATCGAGCTTGAACAAATACACAGGCTGTGGGCATGACATGATGATGTTGATCGCGTTGTCAATGCTCGCGTAGTGCAGAGAGAGCGGCTCGGCAGGAATGCTGTCGTTCGCGCCGGTGCCTTCCGGACTAGACAGATGGTGGATCATTCGCAGCTTGCCGTTCTTTTTGGGGATGGCACCAATACCAGAGCGGCGCATGAACTGAAATGGAGGTGACGGAAATGGGCCTGTGGTCTCGCTGCGGGCGCAGGAAGCAGCTAATTGCTCGGATATAAATGCCGAGTGAGTGAAAGCCAAGGGTAGATTATTAGAGAAAACCGAAATGTCGTGTTGGCCGGCAGATCCAAGAGTAAAGCCACGGCGCAGCCCATGGAGAACATCCGCAACGCATTATTGATATGAGTGGTTACGTAACAGGCGGGCAAAGTGGTCAGCTAGCAGTGTGGTGTCTGCAGAGTGTATAGGAAAGAAGCTACGTACCGAGTCAAGCTATTCAGTAGCCATTCTGCTAGGAGCGGCGGGGTGGCCGATTGGCTCCGCGCTGCTGCTGGTTGCACATGATGCATGGGTGGTCCTTGCCACACTGGCTGCAGGTGTGGGAGAAGCGGCACGACGACGAAGAACAGCGACCTCCATTGAAGTTGCGGCAGATTTCTTGGCTGTCGCTGATATGGTTGCGACCACTGGAGGTAAATGCTGCTGGCTTGGGGACGAAAAGGACACAAACCGCCTCTGGATGGGCCGTCTTACATTGAGCGCATTTTGGGTGTGCATGGCCTGTGACAGCTATCTGCCATAGGTTCACGTCGATGGTGTCCAACCTCTTCGTGCCTGGTTACTGGGCCACGAGCAGCCGCAGCTGGCGGTCGTACTCTAGCCACGCGCTTGGGAAGAACTGGCGGTTAGCAGTCAGGATCAACTGCTGGTACGCAATCAGTTCAGCGGTTCAGCAGTGCGGTGTAGGGCAGCAGCCGTGATAACAGACATGTATGTGGTCCATGCCTCGAGCCGGGTAGTTACATGTATAATTATCGTGAACCTTGCGACGCACCTGCTTCGCGTACGGTCATCCGACTCGACGATATTTAGCTGGCTATCGTTATTCGGGCTGTGCACCAGCCGGAATGTTGGGCCGGAAGTGTGCAAGAATTTCAGGCAACCAACTTGAAAAATCTACGAACTCCCCTCGCAAGATACGTTCTTGCACAGCCTTGGGCACAGCTGGTGCAGGTGGCTGATCGGGTGGGTTACAAGGGCTTGGCCTGGCGTAGTGGCGGCAGCAGCCGCATTGCCTTGGCCTTGGGTGAGGAGCGGCACAATGCTCTCCGATAATAATAAAATGGCGGCCGACAAAGCCGATTACACCTCGTCACGTAGATCTACGGGAGCGCAGATCCCATGTTGAGCCCGCGTCACCTGAGCTGGCGGAGGAGGCATTGGTGCAAGTCGGGCTTCTGGGCTCGCGAGCCGTGTCCGCACTGTCATGTTTCTGGTTCTCCTGGCCGGAGCAGACCTCACTACCAAGGGCTAGTTGTGCCAGCAAACGGTCCTGTAAAATACTTTTACTAAGTAACATTAGTTTCCTTTCGGATTCAAGCCGCGCTGAGAAGGCTCGCCGCGGGGGCTTGGCAAGGCATTGCCTTGACAGTGTCGACAGTTAGGTCAGACATACTGAAGAAATACAGTGTCGAGGTGACACTCGGGCTGGCAGCAAAGCTACGAAAGGAAAAGAAACACTGCTGAAGCACGATCCGTTGTCTGGAAGAGCACAACAGGGCAAGCAAGATTTGTTTTTCTTTTCCGCAAAATGGGCTGGTGCCATTTGTGATTACGCAGCAAAACAAAGCGCATGACGTCAGTCTTGAATGCAGTACAAAGCAATGCAGTGCAGTGTGTGCGCTAGTTCGGATTGTTGCTAACAAGTACTAGCACAGCTAGTACACCATTAAAGCTACGTGGACCCTGGCTAGCGCCAGACGTTACTAAAGTAACGTATTTTGCATAGCTACGGGAATAATAGTGGTTAGTTCACAGAAGCAGACTTCTCCAGCACAGAAGTTGAAGTCATCCATTCCGACTCCGAGTTTCACAGTAATCAATCATCATGCAAGCCATTTGATGGTGATTCAGCTTGAAACTTGGAGGTGTGCTCTGCTTCTGTTATGACAATGCATCATGAAAAGTAACTATGCTCCCTTGCATGAATGAGTTGCCATCGGCTATTCTTACTTTTATGATGTTTATATTGAATTCAGTTGTTGTCCGATGGATGTGCTAATAGTACTTACTACATAAAACCGATGTATGCCCTAGGATATTGATGTGTTTGGTGACAGTTTGAACAATTATGGCCATTTTACAACACTCGTTGTTTAAACTGGTTTGAATCTTGTTAACTTGAACACATTCTTCTCCAGCTTCCGTAACTTCTTCACCCACAGTCACCATAGATCGTAGACGTGGCATCACAGACACAAGTACATGCATCAACTCTACGCCATCGGCCCGCAGTGAGAACAGTACTGATTCTACAATAACTACGTCCCGGGTGAACAAGTTGATCATGTATTCCACTCTCGTAACAGCACTGTTCATGACGGAGATCTTTGCAGCCATCACACTGATATACATAACATACCAGGCAAGAAACTAGATCTTAGTCACTATCGCAATTCCGGATCTGTTGTTCTCGTTCTCTTTATATCCCCTTTTGCCCAGTATCTCATAATAGTCACAAATGTAAGAGTACTCCGTAAATCTTTTGTTATTTCAGTTGGTCTCATTGTGTTTGTCATATTATGGTATAAAGTGATAAGATAAGTTGCTACAATATCGCATGTATTTCATCAATGGTAGTTCACGTCTCTTCAAATTGATATGCAGTACACTGTACCTATTGATACATTGATTGGTACATTGATACGTTGATGCGTTCATAGGATAATCATTCTTTTTATTTTGTAAAGTTTTGATGTAAAGTGTATTCCGGTTTGGGTTTGACAATCTTTATTTTACACATGCATTTTCCTGATTTCTTCTCCAGTGTCTGTTGTATTGCATTTTAATCCATTGAGGCTTGTATCACATAATTTTGTTTAAGTACATTGCATCTGCAAAGTAGGCAGTAGGTCTACGCCTCAACCATCCATGCTCACTTTAGCTACAGGATGGTGCAAGACTGCAGGTTGTTCATTTTGCAATTTCTCCGTTTTGCATGTGGTGTTTTGATACATGCATGCTCTTTTGTACTTGTTTGTAATTGTGAATACTATGCATGGTGGAGTCAAGACCAGCAAACCATTGATTCATGCTGCGAATTCAAATAAATCAATACAACACAATACAATGCTGTTGCCAGGGAGTCTTGTTGTTGAGATTAGGGAGTCGTCAAATAATGGCCCATGTACAGTACTTTGACGACTACCTGGTACCTGGTAGAGTTTAAACACACTTACCGGTAAAAAAGAAATTTAGCAGACACCTGATTTTAGCACACACAATGATGTAAGCAGGAAATGGTGTATGCAGTCATTGTTCACAAGTGCAATCCCAGAAAACAGTTTGAAAAGAGAGGTGTTGGCAGTGCTTCAGACAAAAAAAGGAAGAGCACAAATTATTAAATTGAACACGATGTATCCAGGCATTGCCAGCAACTCCGTTGCCGGATCTTGGCAAAAGTGAATTCACCAATCAAGCTGTAGCATTTATTATGCAAGCAACAAGGCAAGAGAGATTGTGTGCCGAAAGCAGTATGTTAAACGTAATCTGCTCAGCTTTACTTTAAAACAGCAAGGAGGTCGCAAATCGAAAACAGGTGTAAGTCAAAACAATGGAGTGTTACATGTAAACAATGAACAATGGGAGGAAGAAGGCGGGTAGATGCTGCCTTAGAAAGACGATAGGAGAAATCAAAAACTTTATGAACAACGACAGTGTAGACATTTTCGGCATTGCTGAAACTTGGCTTGATAGTACGTTTTCTGACTCATCCATTCATATACCTCATTATAGACTCTTTAGGCGCGATCGCGGGCACAGACCTGGTGGCGGTATAGCTGTATACCGTATTTTCCGGGGTATAAGCCGCACTTTTATCGATAAAAATCGGACCAAAATCGCCCCTGCGGCTTATACACCGAATATGCTTGCGCGAATGAATGCTTAGCATACATCAGTATGCATGCTGACGTCATGTGACATGTCATTCGACTCAGCTTCACGCCTGTGTTGCTGATCAACATCAGTGGCAGCGAGACTGAAGATAGTGCAGATGACATGGAGTGATCTGTACTACTGTAGTCAACACAGCAATACACCAACATCTCTACAGCAACCTGTGGTGCACTAACACTTCATAATCTGATCTTACATGGTATTTAGCTCCATAACCATAATAAATTTGTAGAAAGGCCATTTGTCAATGAGTGTGAAAATCTTGGTTTGTGGGTGCGGCTTATACTCCGAATACCAACTTTTAGTCAATATTTTGCCTCAAAAAGGGGGGTGCGGCTTATACCCCGGTGCGGCTTATACCCCGGAAAATACGGTAAGTAAATTATCGTGTCCGTTCCCGAAGGGAACTCACGACGGCCGCTAACACCCGATAAACCCTAGCGGCAGATGCAGCGCCTAATGGTGGGGGTGAGTGGAAAAGTGTCACAACCGCTGGCCCAAGTGCCGAGAAACCCCATTAGCTGCATCCATGTACCCCTGGTTTGTATTATTTGTATTCGTGGGTCCCCATGGTGCATGGGCCATGCGTACTCATCCGGCGGATATGTGTGAATAATGTACCCCTTGTGCCTGGCCACAAGTTCCCAGTTGACTGTGGGTAGCAGCACGGCTGGAAAAACCGCTCCCAGGCAGGACTTGAACACCAGGTACCTCTCGTATCTCAATCATGGCCTTTGACCAACCCACTGTGCCTGCCTGGTTACGGCTGTATACAGTCTAGATACCCTGGCTGTTTCCAGACACGCTGAACTCGAGAGTGAAACAATCGAAAATCTCATCCACACCTTGAAGACAGAGAATCCGGTGAACCCATCACCCTCGCTACGTTCTACCTTCCACCTTCCACTTCTGCTGCAGTATGGCAAGACCTAGAAGTCAGTCTGAACAATCTAAGCTTGCGAAGTAGCAACGGCGTGGTCGCCATAGGTGACTTCAAGACATGTGCGCGGGGGGCAGTCGTATGCACACCATGCTTCAGCGGTTTCATCTGGAAAACCACATCCGGACACCGACAAGAGTAACGGCATCAACTTCCACCCTAATAGATCTGCTCCTCGCCCCTCAGTCTCTAGTTGGAGCGTGCAAGGTCGTCCAGTGTGACATCAGCGATCACTACGCATTTGTGGCCAACATTATTGTCGTCACCCGGCAGTCCGAAGAGTTGCATCTCGAAAGAGGCGAGTGTGGAGGAAAAACTGCGAGCACTTTAAGACTTGCAGGACTGCAATCTTAAGATCTTCAGCGAGTCGAATGATGTTGATGCAATGATAAGCGAGCCGAATAGGCGAGAAACGGGCCGATTTGGGGAAAGTCTAGCACCAGCCGTCCAGCAGTTTCTTGTGGATATTCTGGAACATCAGGTGATCGAGCCTTTCCTCGAAAGTTGTACTGCGTAAGTAGGACTTGACCCTCCGCATGGTTGAAAACGAGCTTGCTCTTCCTTTTTTTTTTGGCGAAACATTGGTCCGGCGGCCGCCAGACCTGCCGGACCTGTTCCTACGCCCCTGGCGCCGAATGGTACTCAAGGGTATTTACTGCTTTAGATCGTAACGCCCCATTACAACCTCCTCGAAAGCCGAGGCGCCGACCTGTCCAGGGTTGTGTCCTGAACTTGTATCTGCTGTGCGGCAACGAAACAAGGCCCACCGACTTCTTTCACGCTCTCCAAACGATGTCCGCCTGCGAGAGCAACACCGCACTCTCCGCATAGCCACGCGCAAGCTGGATCGGAGGCTAAAGGATCAGTATTTCCAAGCTCGCCTGCAGTCGGCCGGAAAGGACGGACGGAAGCTCTGGAATACGATAAACGTGGTGACTGGATGAGCGAAAAGTTCAAGCCCCCCACAAGTACCTGTTAAAATCCTGTCCCGAACTTTTGGTAAAGTTATGCATGACCCTGGACGAGCAGCCACGCTGTGCGCCAACGCACCAGCCGAACGTGAAGCACCAGCGTTCACGGATATTCCGCCTGTTTCGACGGAGGACGCTATGGCCCTTCTCCAGTCCATTGACGCGTCAAAGGCGACTGGACATGATAATAATAATAATAATCTTTATTTCGGGATTATCCAAAGGCTGACGCCTATCTCCCATTTGTGTATATACAATGAACATTGGAGTGGGGAAAAGGAGAAAATGTGCTAAATGATTTCGGAAAAAGAGATGCTGATGCTGATGCTGTACGTGATGACTTGCCAGGTATTGTCCTTAGAAACTCGGCACCAATACTGGCTCCCTCGCTCAGCATGATTTTCAATACTTCGCTATGTCAGGGGTGTGTTCGCCATCAGTTTAAAATTGCTTATGTGTCGCCGCTGTTCAAAGGTGGCAGTCTTGAACCTTGTCTGCGTATCGACCTATTTCTCTACCACCAGTCGTTTCTCGTCTCCTCGAGAAGATCGTCAAAGCCCAGCTCACATCCTTTCTGGCCAATCACAGCGTTCTCCCTGACTCCCAGTTCGCGTACAGGAAGAACCACAGTACCGAGGACGCTCTTGTGCAAGTAATAGATTTCAATCACTGGCTCAAAGCAAAGCATGAGCGCAAACTCACAGGTGTGATATTCGTTGATATGTCGAAGGCTTTTGACTGTGTCAAACACATCATCTTGGCACAGGAGCTATCCTACATTGGGGTCAGCGGTACTGTCCAGCTATGGTTCACTAGTCACCTGAGTGAGCGGCTTCAACGGGTAGTTGTGGGCGGAAGTTGCTCAGAATACGTCGCGTGCAGTCGAGGGGTGCCACAAGGATCCGTCCTAGGGCCCCTCCTGTTCACACTGTACATCCGAAACCTTCGGTGCTTCGTGCCCCAGCAGACCACAAACCAGGAATTTGCAGACGATATTGCCATCAAAGCCTCGAGCAGCTGCCAACAAGTGTGCTCCCCACTAAGCACAGCCGGTTAACCACAAGAAAACACAGGCGCTGTTGATTACCCCAAGAGGCCCAGCCCCTGCTACAGATGACACATGACTTTTCTGTGGGAATGCAGCCCTTGTTGTTGTTGGCGAAGAAGCGCGGTACCTGGGCGTCATGGTGGATGGTCAGCTCTTCTGGGAGCCTCACGTCAACCACACAATCTCGCAGGTGCGGAAGTCAGTAGGTGCGCTGTGGCGGAGCCACTGAAGCCTCACCCTGGCGCCAAAGATCCTGTTTTACAGGTCGATGATTCAGGGTAGGTTGTCGTACGCTTCCAACGCGTTTTATCCGTCACTAGCAAATGGCAACATGGAGCCCCTGACACGGCTAATGAAGAGCGCTATCCGCGGCTTCTTCGGCCTGCCACTGTGTAGTAGTAGTAGTATTTATTATTTGACTAGGGGAGTCCCAACAGGCATGGCCTTGTTACAGGGAACCCTAGTTGAATCTTTGTGAGGTGAGCAAAAGTACCAGCAGATTGTGCCTGACGACAGTTTGGAGGAAGAGTGTTCCACCGACCTGCCGCCAGAAAAG